GTTATTATTTTATTATATATATATATATATATATATATATATATATATATTTAGTCCCTAATTTTTAAATATGGAGATCTTAAAAAAATTGTGAGATTCAATCTTTAATTTACCGCATTGTATATGATTAAATTTATTCTAATTGATAGATATCACTTAATTTTATATTGCATTATATATGTTTTAGTTATTTTCAGTAGTGCTTAAAAGAATATAGTTAGCGAGAAAAATATATATTTTATAGTCTCGCCAGTTTTTGAAAAAATAGCTGATATGCATATTGTATATATATTTATATATTCTTTAGTGTAAGTATTAAATAAAATATGTAGTGGAAGTATAATTTATGTATTTTAAATATATTGAGAAAATTAACATCTAATTGAAGACAGATGCATATTTTTTGGCGGATGATAAAAAATAATAAACAATACTAAAATTAAATGTATTCGACTGATGTAATAATTATTAATGATGCAGATCCTGACTGGAGAAGACTGGAACGAAGTGATGTACAAAGGTATTGAGTCGCAGGGCATGGCTCACTCGCTTTATTTCATCGTGCTGGTGCTCTTCGGCAATTATACCCTGCTGAACGTCTTCTTGGCTATCGCCGTCGACAATCTCGCAAACGCGCAGGAGTTGAGTGCCGCCGAAGAGGAGCAGAAGGAAGAGGATAAGGAAAAGCAGTTACAGGAGCTCGAGAAGGAGATCGAGTCACTGCAGAGGCCCGGGGATGGTAGCGCACCGAGAGTGGAAATCTGCCCTCCAAGTCCAACTCAGAATTTGTAAGTCTCCCTTCTCTTTTGCCGTATATTCGTGGAAATTCTTGTTTTTTCTTAATATTTCTTTACATTTGTCTTAAATGATATTTAATTTGGAAGAAATTATTACTTTTTATGATAAATACTGAACTATATATATTCTTTCTTCGTGGAAGATTCTCTGCTTTAAATCGAAATAATATATTCTTGCGTATCTTGTGTGACAGAAAAAAATTTTGGATATTCTAGAGTTAAGAATAATTTAGAAGACAAGCTGTTAAAATTTGCACGAAGACATTCTTCTCAAACTACATTTTCTGTTTGTGATCTCTATGTAAGATAGAAAAGTTTAAAAGTTTAGAAACTGTGACGTAAGCCCTAAATTTTGCACGAATTTCGGATTAAAATGGACAGAGTGATTAATAATTGTTTGTGATTATTTAAATTGATTTGAGTTGATAATATATAATATAGATAAATTAAAAAATGTAAAAGCAATTCCGATGGAGGGGGCACAATGTGAAAAATGACGTCTCGTCTTTTCCAGCAGAGACGGAAGAAATGAAAACCAAACGTCTGAAGAGAGGAGGCAGGATGAAGACGACGACACGGGACCAAAACCAATGCTGCCATACTCCTCCATGTTTATACTGTCCCCTACGAATCCGTAAGTCTGATCATTCTGCGATCTTTGCCAAAAAGTAACGAAAATAAATTGTAATATTATAAAATAAAATTACGTGAGATTTTCATATAATTAAAAGGTATAGCAAACATCTACTTTTTAGTGGTCGCAATATTTCGAAATTTATCTTTCAATGTATCTTTAATATTCTATATTCTTTTATTATTCTCTTTATTTCAATGATGTAATTAGAATAAATGTATTAAGAATAATAAGATTTCCTCTGTTTGCAGCATAAGAAGAGCCGCCCACTGGATCGTGAATCTTCGGTACTTCGACTTCTTCATAATGGTGGTGATATCGCTGTCAAGTATCGCGCTGGCCGCCGAGGATCCCGTTACAGAAAGCGCACCGAGGAATAAAATCCTCACTTACTTCGATTATGCATTTACGGGCGTTTTCACCATCGAGATGGTGCTGAAAATTATCGACCTCGGCATCATACTGCACCCGGGCTCGTATCTGCGCGAGTTCTGGAACATTATGGACGCGGTCGTAGTGATATGCGCCATGGTGTCGTTCGCCTTCGACATGATGGGCAGCACGGCCGGCCAGAACCTCTCGACCATTAAGTCGTTGCGAGTGCTGCGAGTGCTCAGGCCGCTTAAGACAATAAAGCGCGTGCCGAAGCTCAAGGCGGTGTTCGACTGCGTGGTGAACAGTCTCAAGAACGTCATTAATATTCTCATAGTGTACATATTGTTTCAATTCATATTCGCTGTGATCGCGGTGCAGCTGTTCAACGGCAAATTCTTCTACTGCACCGACGAGAGCAAGTATACAGAAACGGAGTGCAAGTAAGTAAATGTTACTTTTTTTTGGTCTTTCTTTTGCTTTCATTTCTCGAGTAAAGCGTCTTGAAGAGAATATATATATAAATATATTAGAACACTGATAATAATCATGACACAGATAATAATCGAGGCATTAGGTTTAATAAATAAACAATAAATATAAATTTCTAAAGATACGAATGAAACTGAAGTTATTTGTTATGTGTTTATTCTTATATTTATTCTTAAATTTTATTTCACAAGCGGTGCGAGTAGACTAATTACGTTTTCGCGACAGCGGTTTCTTCTTCGTTTTCGAGGAGGGTAGCATGATACCGGAACCCAAGCCACGGAACTGGCTACCCCAGTCGTTTCATTACGACAACGTGATGGTGGCCATGCTTACGCTGTTCGCTGTTCAAACCGGCGAAGGCTGGCCACAAATCCTGCAGAATTCGATGGCGGCCACATACGAGGACAAGGGCCCCATCCAGAATTTTCGTATCGAAATGTCCATTTTCTACATCGTCTACTTCATCGTCTTTCCATTCTTCTTCGTCAACATCTTCGTGGCCTTGATTATCATCACGTTTCAGGAGCAGGGAGAAGCTGAATTGCAGGACGGTGAAATTGATAAGAATCAGGTGATGTCTTGGTCATTCATTTTTTCGTTTGCATCGAATTAGTTTTATGTAGATTTTATTAAAAGTTTAAATTAAGTGAAATATGAAATCACTTTATGCATCATTAAAATTTTAAAAGGGATTTTTAAAAGAGAAAAGTATTAATTAATTAAAAATAAATATATAAAATTATTATATGT